TTGGAATTATTCCAAAGAAAAGATTTTGAAAAGGTTGGTGTTCAGCATGCACAAAAAATTAAGTGTAATAGAGCAGACTTCTGAAAGCACAAGATATGATAAAGTCAAATATTCAAAAGGACTGTCATGTGGAAGGATTAAGACTTTGAATTTGGCTAATCTTATTTTGTATCAGCCTGCTTTGTGTAATATCATTACAGCACATGCAAGAGTTTATGGCTAGAATGAGAGGTAGATCTTTAAGCTTTATGGAGTCTTTGGTATCATTCTGTACAGAGAGGTGTAAATCCCATGATTTTAAGATTTCATCAGGTGGAATAAATGAATGAAGGGGACTAGGTGTAGGAAAATGGGAACCAGTGGGGACTTGAAAGCAGTGTTTTCTATAAAGGCTTCCAAATACAATAAAGACAAAACCCAAACCCTGTACAGTAATCCAGTTGGCTGTGTCTGGCCTGGGAATGGCCAGCTATGACCCCTAATCTTACATAATCCTCCTTTTTTTTTTTTCAAGGTGAGGAAACAGGTACCAAAAGTCACAAAGCAAAGTGTGTAAGATAATGAAAGTGTAAATGTGTGCATATATATCAAAACACACCATTTTTAATGAAAGAAATTAATATCCACACATTTGTACTTCTGTACAATTTTGGGTAATATATAATTTTAAGCTGTTTACAAATAACATGTAATGCTTCAAATATTACATAATGTTGATAATACATTTCTAGCAGAAATAAATATATTGCACTTAAAAAGAACTTCGTTAGGTGTTACTTCATAGTATTAGGCTTATAACTTCTTTTTTCATAAAACATTTCCCATGCCCTTCCCCCCACCCCCAACACACACACTTCATTACAGTGACTGTTCTCACGCAATTCATTAAGCAAATGGACACAGCAAACGATGTAACTGTGATAGAGTCTACTAAAGAGGCTATATCCAATTTTATCCTCTAGGAAATAAAATAATTTTTAAGGTTTCTGAAAATAAGAAAAAAACAACTAAATACATATTTTAATGTATTAGAAGTAAAATACAACAAACTGTATTTTTTGTCAAGATGTATTATTTTATCAATGTTTTTATTTTCTTATTATCAGGGAAGGGCATTGGAATTGAGGGAAAGATAAAGAAGAGTGAGAAAATACTTACAGATTATTTGCCTATCAAATATTTATAAATGAAACTTTGCATATTTAAGTATGCTAAAGAAAGAGAAGTATTAGAGTATTTTATAACTGGCATGGAATAGTAGTGAAGAAATTATTTTATGGTGTTCTAAACGTTTAAGAATTTGTAACTTTCCCTTTGCCTGTTTACATAAAATCTTTGCATCCTGAAATAATATAAAAACATGTAAAATCCATCCTCCATAAGTCTGTCTAAAGTAGCCAACTGAAAATCTTTTCTGTCCAGTGCTTTGTTTCTTTCCAGCCTAGATTTAGGGTGTAATATTGTTTTGTTTCAAATAATTATCAATGCTATACGCGTTTTAATAATGAAAACAATTTCCTTACTTAGTCAATGGAAGATTGAGTAAAAATATTGTTATCCTTGCAGTATGTGACCCTGGCACATTACATAACAAAATTTTTCTAACTTTAACTGCTGAGTCATGGCTAAGCTTGACTGCATATTTAATGGGGTGATAAAGTCATTCTTGAAGCTTATTTTTCTCAATACAATTCAGCTCATATAAGCAAGACAGCCTGAAGAGCTAACATGAACTTCAGATGTGGGTTAAATATCCCAACATCTCTCTGAAAAATTCATAGGTATGGGAATGTTGATCCTTTTCTTCTAAAAATACTTTTTTCTTGGGCTTTTGGAGGGTGTCTTTTTTTTTTTTTAATGGGGGCAGGGGATGCTGTGGCTAGAGAAATGCAATGAAAGAGATGTGGATGAGAGCGAGGGAGGGGAGATCTTGGAATACCCCAGAAGTTAATGTAACTCCTATACCATAGCCCTACATAGGGTTTTTCTCAATATCTTCTTAATATCTCCCATTCTGTGCCTACCTACTAGGAATAACAATGAACCTTCATTATAAACTCAAAAGGACAGCAGTGCAACCTAAAATCATTAATGCAGACCTTATAACCTAATAATTTGTGATATGATAGACCCAAGATGGATATACTTTACTTACATTCTGCTAAGGGTCGATGAAGGAGGGGGAAGACTTGGTAAGTAAAAGAAGTAACTGAACTTACTCAGCGTTATTGATAAGTGTTTTAAAAACAAATCATATATGCAGAAGCTACAAAGTTATAAATTAATTCCTTCAGGTTAGAGAAAGCAATTCTGGAAGGACCTCTTTGCAACAGCATTGCATGTTAGCCATGCTTTTTGATACAGTAATATACCCGGGGTGGGGGATGTGGCTGCATTTATTCCAAACATACTGTAACTCCTGCTCTTAACTATTCAGTAGGCTTTCCCAATAACTGTCTAGTTTGTGCATTTACTTTTGGTAGAATAGACCTTAGACTTTAACATCTTAAATACTGAGGAGAGTTAAGTAAGAATCAGCAACCATAATAGTTTAGAAAGACCCGGGGGTTGGGGTAAATTTGTTCCCTTGGTTCTCATGGCTATGGTGACTTTGGTCAGGTTAAGCTCCATGTCACTTGTGCTTTTTCTTTCTCATTCAAATAATGCCAAATACTTAAAAAAACATATCCAATTTAGAATTTCAGGTGTTATTTTCCAAGAGCATGCTTTGGTATCTTAGTCTTTCCTTTTCTCTAAGCACTCTCCTTATTTTCAGTCTTCTATTGCCTAATTACAAAATAAATTTATGAAGTCAGGAAATACTGGTGTAAAGCCATATTACAAAAACAAACCTACTTTTAAGATATGTCAGTTGGGGAAAATGTCTAAATGGTATTAAAATGACCTTTCATTCTCACTGAAAAGAAAACTCAGATACAGATTCACTCTAGTAGACCAGTAATTTACCAGAATATTGAGTAGCATGATGTTAAATAGCATCTAGTTTTGTTATTCCTGCTTTAAGCAGCAGTACTGTGTATTAAACAGAGCACTGGCAACAGGCCAACTATTAAGTATCAAATCCCTATCCTAAGCTCTATGGATACTTAAACATTACTCATAGCTGCTTTTTTTTTTTTTTTTTTTTAAATAAATGCACATCTGTGCTGTGTTTGAAAACAAACTACCTGTGGATACTATAGCAGAGCATGCAAGAAGTTAGAAATTAGCCTACAGTATCTGCCATAGGACTTTGAGATGCTGGGGTAGCATAGTCCATGCTTCTCCATAAGTCAACTTTGGGACACAGTGGAGAAAAACAATTGCAAAGTCCAGCAACAATGGCATCACATAGACAGGCTATGCCATTATGCCTTGTTCCATAGACTAGAAATGCCCAAGAAAGGCATTTGATATGGAAAAGCATAACAAAATAACTAAATAAAACCCCATGCACTCTGATAAGTATATTGCATTTACTCCCACCTCTACTCTCGGCAGTGATATTTACCATCTCTTTTAACAGATTCAAGACTTTTGCAGTCAGACCAAAGTAGATACAAAATTTAATTAGGATACAGTAGAGTTGTGGGGAGTTTTGTCAAGAAGACAGGTTATATCTTACAGCTAGAATATATTATAAAGTTGAAGGACTATAAACTTTATTAAAGCTGCAAAATGCCAAATACTACCCCGACTGCAAATGCTTAGATATGTTATGTGTTGCCCCCTAAATATAGAGATTATATATAACTAAAATATAGTTAATTATTAAAAATTAAAGAAAGGCTTAAGAAGACAATAAGAACTCAAAGTGGATAAGTACCTTGGATTGACTTATAAACACTACCAGGGTTTCAGCCAGGGAGTCACTGAGTTGACATACAATTTCATATAATGGACTAGGAAAATGATAAAGGAGTCACTGAACGGAAAAGTAAGAAAGAAGGACAAACCAGATATATGGACACATAACTCCTCGGGAACATAGGTTAATTGGTGGCTATATGGGCATTCAGAATGGTCATTCATAAATCTTTGTCAATTAGTGGTAATAGCTAATCTAATAATAAAGCAGATTTACCAAAAATGAGAATGTGGCCCAGTGCATCTTACCATCCATAAGGTCTCCTGAAGCTGGAGTAAAAATAAAGGACCTCTGGTACCCATGGCAGAGAAATCCCTTTCAGGACAGGGCAACCATCTTGTTATTGCAGATTGAGAAAAAGCCTCACGTGTCATCATTTAGAGTCTTTAGAAGTGTTCCTCAGTGAAGGAGTCAGTAGTGCACTTAGAATGCAGCCCAGAAAAATACAACCTCAGTTTTATAATGTAACACATACAGCCTCTTGCTTCAAAATTGTGTATAGGCTCTTCCTACATAAATGGCAAGTAATTGCAAGAAAGAGAATTAAGAAGACAAGACTGAGAAAAGGAGCTTGTCAGGTACTGGCCCTTCAGTATTATAAAAAGAGCTTTGTAAGATCATTACCATCTATTCATCCACAAAATAGGATGCATTAGCATTATCTCAGCCCTTTCCCCCAGCAAACTAATACAAAGGAAAACTAAACATGCTTAAGCTACAGCACTACAAATATTTCTCTGTTGGCGCTCATTTTCTATAGAGAGAAACGGACTTAGGTTAGTCATTATGCATTATGGTCGGTATATTATATATACTGCCTCTTTGAAGATTCTTTAAACCTGTGGAAAGCAGAAAGATAACCTCTACACATTGATTTTATACATTACTGCACTGACACAGCAATTTTAACCGCTAGGTATAATGCACCTTAAGATTCATCTGCCCTGTGTTCTTTTCTGGGTAAGTTAGTATCCTTAAGCTGGCTAAGAACTTGAAACTGATTCTCTCTTGAACCCAAGAGCTATCCCCGATCTATACATGAGTCCTGGTCTGGTGCTTTCCCTCAGCGGTAGGCTTTACTGTGAGTCCAGCTCTCCTCTTTAATAGGTCCCAGATCTCCTGGAGAGCCCCTGCTCCACACCCTACATCCCACCCACCCTACCCCACCCCATCCCACATTTCCATACCCATTTGCACATTCTGGATCTGGATTCTCCTAGGTTTAGAAGAGTCATACAAATGGTGTCATCACTGCAGAGGAATGGCGCAGTCCTTGGATAGCAGCATAGGGCCCCTGCTGAAAGTAGTGATGGTACCGGGGCATGTGGAAGGAGGGGAATGTCGGGCCGCTCCCCTGCATGGAGCCGGCAATGGCCGATGGGGTCAGAGGCACCCCAAGTCGGCTGTATGGCGGCAAAGAACCCTGTATAGGGTGAGGAATGGGTGTTGCTATGGATGCTGTACTGGTGCCGAGAGCAGCGAGGGACTGGGGGTGCTGAAATCCAGGAAAAGTGGAGGAAGAAGAGACCCAGGAGCTGAGGGACAAATTATCAGATGTCGTAAAGGCTGACCCTGAAACAAAAAACAACTCATTAGACTAGAAACTCTATTTCAGTGTGCAAATCAAGAATTACATTATCTGTATGGATTTATTTTTTTAAAAAAATATATAATAGATCTGCAATTTAAAAAGATGTGCACATCATATGAGTCAGAACTACCTTTCCAGATAAAAGCATATCATTTATACCATAAGAAAGAGAGAATTTACTAAATAGAAAAAGACTTAGCTCATTAGATGGCCTGTATGCTCCTGGAGAATGGTTAAAACACAAGTATCCTGCCTGAAAGGAATAAATGGATTCCCTTTAAAGGAGCTTCAGGGGTACCTGGGTGGCTCAGGTGGTTAAGTGTCCAACTCTTGATTTAGGCTCAGGTCACAATCTCATGGTTTGTGAGATCAAACCCCACATTGGGCTCTCTGCACTAACAGCACGGAACTTGCTTGGGATTCTCTCCCTCCCTCCTTCTCTCTTTGACACCCCCCCCCCCCGCCACCTAAAAATAAATGAAAAAGAAACATTAAAAAAAAAAGCAGCAGCAGCTCCAAATAGCTGGTATCTGCTATTTGGATAGCACCCCTGTAAGGAAGACGGACATATGAGCCTCAACAAAGCTAGTTGGTTTTCTAAAACGAAAACCCACAGAGTGTTTTTCTTTTTCTAGTTTCCACAATTCTTCAATAAATATTTGACAAGTTGCAAGAATGAGTTTTCCCTCATCACAGCATCCACAGATTTAAACAAAACTTGACACTGGATTTGCCAGCTATATAATTTACCAGTAGTTCACTTGGATTTATTTATAAATCCTGTAAGACGTCCTATGTTTTGACAGATTATGCTGTTCCATAAAAAATATGGCAGAGGGCTCTCTCCCCACACGAACATCCCTATGCCCAGCATCAGGCACCATCTGGTTTCTTTTCTCTGGACTCCCAGGTGCAGAGGGCTCCTCAATGAGCCTTTGGGACAGAGGGACTTTTCAGTCCTCCCCTACTGTCACTGCTGAGGCCTCTACATAATGCCCTTCAATAGCAAAAGTTTCTTTTTAAAAGAGTTTTCCATTTTAGTCATTGATCCTAATGAAATATTCCTGGAACCTCTTCTAAGTGGAACAGATATACTCCCTGATTTGCACTTGATAAAACTGAGGTTCAGTAAGACTAAAGGATGGCCCCCAAGTCCAATAGCTCTTTGGTGGTAGATCACAGACAAGTGACTCCTGAGCCCTGACGCAGAGGCTTGCTGTCCTTTCACTAGAAAACAAACTACAGGAAACCATCAAGCAGAACTATCACTTAAGACTTAGAGGCAAGGGCACCTGGGTGGCTCAGTCGATTAAGCATCTGACTTCAGCTCAGGTCACGATATTGCAGTTCTAGAGTTTGAGCCCCACATCAGAAGCTCTGTGCTGACAGCTGAGGGCCTGGATCCTGCTTCAGATTCTGTGTCTCCCTGTCTCTCTACTCCTCCCCTGCTCACGCTCTGTTTGTCTGTCTATCTCTCTCTCTCTCCCTCTCTCTCAAAAATAAATAAACGCTAAAAATTAAAAAAAAAAAAAAAAAAAAAAAAAAAAAAAAAAAAAAAAAAAAAAAAAAAAAAAGACTCAGAGCCAAAATAATGATCTGTATGAAAATCGGGCTCGGCGGCTGCCCCTTCCTCAGGAGACTCCTGTCATACTTTGGGGGCAGACTGCATGCTGACGACTAGGACTCCCATCCTTCCTTTTCTTCATCCTGCGCGCTCTTGCTCCCAGCAGCTACATAGCCCAGAAGCGGCCTTACCTCTATTCTGTGTTGTCTGAACCTCGTCCCCCAGCACATCATCTTCTCCTCCATAGGTACGGATGGGTGAGCGGGCATAGGAATGCTTCTGGATCAGACTCTCCACACTTTCCCTAGGTCAGAGAATGACACAGCCTGAATAAACTAAAAAGTACTCAGAGGTGGAGATGAGTCTTAAAGATGATTTACTAGTCAGTAAAATCATTTTTTCAGACAAAAGACCCCACTTCAGGAAAGATGACATTCAAAACATGTATATTTCTGCCACTGTAGACTCCCTGGAAACTTCAGGCATATGAATACAAGCAACCACTGGATAAGATAGGGTCAATTCCCTGAAATCCTACAAGATGAAGGACAAAGAGGTGAACAAGGAACTATGACACCAGACTATAGGAATGTAGAGAGTAATGAATGAAAAATGAGTGAGTGAATTTCCTATAAGGAGCTGCAATAAATCTCTGACTTCATCAGCTAATGAGTATAAAACAAATACTCAACTGATATGAACTACACTTATTCTTTTTTTTAATGTTTTCTATTTATTTCTGAGAGGGAGAGAGAAAGAGAGAGAGAGAAAGAGAGACAGACAACGTGAGCAGGGGAGTGTAGAGAGAGAGGGAGATACAGAATCTGAAGCAGGCTCCAGGCTCTGAGCTAGCTGTCAGCACAGAGCCCGATGCGGGGCTCGAATGCACTAACTGTGAGATCATGACCTGAGCCGAGTTGGACGCTTACCCGACTGAGCCACCCAGGTGCCCCAAACTGCACTTATTCAACATCTGATGAAATGCAGGCCAGAAGTTCAGAATATCATTAGTCATGAAAAGATTCAATACTCACTAATAAACCTAGGAAGTACACAGACTATATGATAGTATGGGTAGTTGGGATAATGGACTTTTTGAGATTCCTTTTGCTTTAAGATGGAAAATTATAGAAAACTGCAGAAGGACACATAAAACAGCCATTAGGAAATTGAGGCCCCCCCAAGTAAATTGATCTATTGACGTTGAAAGTGGTCTTCCCATCCAGATGGCCAACAGACACATGAAAAGATGCTCAACGTCACTCATCATGAGGTAAATACAAATCAAAGCCACACTGAGATACCACCTCACACTAGTCAGAGTGGCTAAAATGAACAAATCAGGAAACCACAGATGCTGGCAAGGATGTGGAGAAACAGGAATTGTTAGTGGGAATGCAAACTACTGTAGCCGCTCTGGAAAACAGTGTGGAGGTTCATCAAAAAATTAAAAACAAAAATACCCTACCACCCAAAGGAATTGTACTACTAGGAATTTGCCCAAGGGATACAGGCGTGCTGATGCACAGGGATACATGTACCCCAATGTTCAGAGCAGCACTTTCAACAATAACCAAATTATAGAGAGAGCCTAAATGTCAATCAACTGATGAATGGATAAAGAAGATGTGGTTTCTGTTGTTTCACATAGTGCTGGAAGTCCTAGCATCAGCAATCAGACAACAAAAGGAAATAAAGGCATCAGAATTGGCAAAGAAGTCAAACTGTCACTTTTTGCAGATGACATGATACTCTACATAGAAAACCCGACAGACTCCACCAGATGCCTACTAGAACTGATCCATGAATTCAGCAAAATTACAGGGTACAAAATCAACATACAGAAATCGGTTGCATATTTATACACCAACAATGAAACAACAGAGAAATCAAGAAACTGATCCCATTCACAATTGCACAAAACACCATAAAATACCTAGGAATAAACCTAACCAAAGATATAGGAGATGTATATGATGAAAACTATAGAAAGCTTATGAAGGAAATTGAAGAAGACACAAAGATATGGAAAAACATTCCATTCTCATGGGTCAGAAGAATAAATATTGTTAAAATGTCATTACTACCCAAAGAAATCTACACATTCAGTGCAATCCCAATCAAAATTGCACCAGCATACTTCTCAAAACTAGAACAAACTATCCAATAATTTGTATGGAACCACAAAAGACCCTGAATAGCCAAAGTAATACTGAAAAGTAAAACCAAAA